GTCTTCATTCTAAAGCATCAGGCGGGACTTGTGGTCTTCATTCTAAAGCATCAGGCAGGCCCCATATCATGAGTCCCAGGCAAGACTTTTGAGGCCTGTCTCTTATACACATCTAGATGTGTTTTGGAGAACATGCTTACAGTGAAGTACAATGCCCATTTCTTATAAAAAGTATGTTTTTATGTCTATTTCATGAGCATTTTTGGCTCATGGCGATCATTAAAATCTTTTGATTGGTAACAAAAATGACAGTAATAGTAAATGACATAGTAAATAGCAAATATCCGCTGAACAGAGTCTAATCTTCTTTCTTTTGACAGGTGGTCTGACTGACAGATTGGGTAATTTGAAGAACCTTACAAAGCTCATAATGGATAACATTAAGATGAATGAAGAAGATGCTATAAAACTAGGTCAGATTTCTGTTCTCATATGTGTATTAATGTGAGTTTGATAATAAGAGGAGTTAACTTCAGGCTGTGACACTGTGTGTCTGCACGAGGCAAGGATGTTTTTATGTACTTATGTCTACATTGGTTTCCCTAGACATATTCAAATTGTACAACACTAGATGGTAACCCTTTTGGGAAGAGAGCCCATGACGTGTTTTTAATTTCCCTCTCCCTGGCTCATTGGCTATGTTTTTATTTAAGGCATAGAAACAATATTTTAGTTTATAGTATGGTTTCATAATTGCATAGAAACAATATTTTAAAGTTTATACTATGATTTCATAATTAAGTAAAATTTCATAAATGAAATAGGACACAGGAAACAATGTGAATCAAGAAAACTTTGGGGGAAGCATGCTTTCATTCTACACTAGAGGTTGTGTTTCCCCAATCAAAAAAATGAAAAGGAAAAGGAAACTTCAGGAACACAAACAGAACACATGGCTTACCACAGGGAACCAGGCCCTCCAGGCCAGGGAGGATTCCTGTGAAAGCTGCTTTCCTTGAATGTCCTTGTTTCCTCGTGTGTTAGATTTTTTTTTTTTTTTGGCTCTTTTTTTCCCTAGTTGAGTCCTCACTAAAAGGTTCCTCTCTTCCCTTCACCTTGTTCTTTCTTATTCTGCTTCCTGCCGAAAGACAACTCTATCCTATAATCAAATCATGGCTGAAGCCTGGGCACGGTGTATCACGCCTGTAATTCCAGCACTCTGGGAGGCCAAGGCGGGTGGATCACCTGAGTTCAGGAGTTCAAGACCAGCCTGGCCAACATGGTGAAACCCCATATCTACTAAAAATACAAAAATTAGCTGGGCATGGTGGTATGCACCTATAATCCCAGCTACTTGGGAGGCTGAGGCAGGATAATCACTTGAACCCAGGAGGAGGAGGTTGCAGTGAGCCGAGATTGCTCCACTGCATTCTAGCCTGGACGACAGAGAGAGACTCCATCCCGAAACAAAAACAAAAGCAAAACATGGCTGACTTCTTTTCTTTATATGGCCTACATGAGAATAATCAAATTAATTCAGTGTTCAATACATTTATTGCATGTGTATAAATTACACAGAAAATCAGAGCTGGAAGAGGATTGAGAGCATCTAATTCAACTCATTCATTTCACAGAAAACTCCACTGGAACCTAAAATAGCTTATTGACTTGCTCAAGATATTACCAACTGGCAGAAAGAGGTCAAAAAGTACCTCTCTAGGACAGCCTGCTTCTGCTATTAAGGAATCAAAATATGAACTTGACTAAACCAGTCTAATTATATTAGTAATAATTTACTCTTTATTAAAGAGTTACTGTGCTATAGATTAGACACTAGCCTAGGCAGTTTTATATACTTCATTCCACTGAATCCCCACAACAGTCCTAGTACATAGATATAATGATCCCTAAAGCTTAAGCTAAAAGATTGAATAACTTGTCCAAGTTTATAATTATTAAGTAGGGGATCCAGGAACTGACTGCAAAGCTCATGCTCACAACCTCCAACCTGTATGTACTCCCATGACAACAATGAACATTTATTGAACATTTATTGAGCACTTACTATGTGCCACATTAAATATGTTACATGCATTATCTGCAACCTTCCTGAAAGCTCTGCAAGATTGATATTATTAGAATCATATATTTCTTTTCTTTTCTTTTTTTTTTTTTTTGAGGCAGAGTCTCGCTCTGTTGCCCAGGCTGGAGTGCAGTAGTGAGATCGCAGCTCATTGCAACCTCTGCCTCCTGGGTTCAAGCGATTCTAATGCCTCAACCTCCCGAGTAGCTGAGATTACAGGTGTGCACCATCACGCCCAGCTAATTTTTGTATTTTTAGTAGAGATGGGGCTCTGCCATGTTGGCCAGGCTGGTCTCGAACTCCTGACCTCAGGTGATCTGCCCCCCACTACCTCTCATAGTGCTGGGATTACAGGTGTGAGCCACCGTGCCTGGCCATTAAAATCATGTATTTCTTTCCTGTAGGCTACAGTACCATCAAGATAAGGCAATATTTTAATGACACAAAGTAAGGCCTAACCAATCCTAAACTGCACATTAGCTTTAGACCTAAGAATGGGGGACATTTCAGAATGTTTCCAATTGTACTGTTGATATAAGGTAAATCTTTTTTCTGGTTAAATACACTGCAGTGGATGTGGTCTTCATTCTAAAGCATCAGGCGGGACTTGTGGTCTTCATTCTAAAGCATCAGGCAGGCCCCATATCATGAGTCCCAGGCAAGACTTTTGAGGCTGTGAACAGTTGCACTAGAAGCACTCCAAGGACCAAGTCCCCATGCTACCCCCCTGAACTCAGCCCCCCGCTGTTTAAGATTTTTGAGAAGATTGAAAGGAGGGTGCTCTAGAACACTTCATCCATCTAAAGAATTGTCGTAAGAGTATACATTGATGCCCATTAATTACAAATTTACGATAGTGTTTCTCATGCTACTAAGAGAATAACCTCCACATAAGTGATTTTTGTGTGGTCCAAGAGACTGGAAAGTGAGAGTTGAAAGAAGAACAGCTCTCTTTGACTCTTTGTAGCTTAAGGTTGCTGCAGGAAGAACATGGGAAGGTCTCTGCACAATTATTCTTTGCTTTCTTTTCAGTTCATTAATCTATGCTTAAATTGAATTAACTTGGTATCCTAATGCATTCCTTTCTCTTTTTTCAGCTGAAGGCCTGAAAAATCTGAAGAAGATGTGTTTATTTCGTTTGACCCACTTGTCTGACATTGGAGAGGGAATGGATTACATAGTCAAGTCTCTGTCAAGTGAACCCTGTGACCTTGAAGAAATTCAATTAGTCTCCTGCTGCTTGTCTGCAAATGCAGTGAAAATCCTAGGTAACTGTTGCTTCCATTAACTGAATGAGGACAGTATAACAGAACATGTGATACTATTATACTAATTCACACTAAATGTCTCAAATGGAAATTTAATTTTAAGGAAAACTGGAAAAGATAATAAAAACTTCTGGATAATAAGCAGATTGTTTTTAATGATTTTTCTCCATATTGGAATTAAAATCAACTATTGATGGATAATAGGGGAGAATTTCAGAATAACTGAAGATGTAACTTTTAGAGAAAGTGAAAAGGAAGAAAATAAGAAATAGGGGCTTGAAACTTGCCACACAACCTGTCATATAATTTACTGCCTAATAAACATTTAAATGAATGGATAAATGATTGAGAAGTGAGAGATAAAGATTTTCTTAAATGATCTCAGGCCTCTAATTCCTACCCATTGCCCTGTTAAGATGAAGTTAATGTGTATTAATGTGACAATTGAGTCTCCTGAGTTTCCAAAGGGATGCATATCAAGTATGGGGAAACTTACTGCATATTTCTGGATAAACTATACATGTGTAATTCAGACATATTTTAAAATTTAGATTTTGGAAAAGAGTGGTATAATCTTTTTAAAGTTAAACTATATAACTTCTGGGAGTCTCTAAAGATAACTAAGGAAGCCATTTGTATACTAATACAAAGTTACAGCTAGAGAAACCCACAGTTGAAAAAGGCTAGACAAGTACTGGGAATATGAGCACAATGAGCACATGCCTTTATTTCTCTGCTTACTGCTGGGCAGAGACAGGCTTAGAACTGGAAATCGCAAATGTACTCTTTTGAAGAGAAGTTCAGCAGATTTTTTACTGTAGAGCACACAACCCAGAAGATACTTTAAGAAAAGGGCTCATATGATTGATTAAAAATAATAATAGCCAATATTATAACAAGAGTACATAGTCATGAAAAACTTGTCTGATTTTTTTAAAAAGGAGATTTTTCTAGCCTTGATAGAAAAAACTTCACCTAGATTAAGCAAGAGTGATAACATGTGAAGAAAAGAACTAAGCAATTCTTAGCTAGACTGGTACCATTATATAATTCATGTTTGCATACAAAATAGTTTTCCATTACCTCAACATATTTATGTCTTTGTTATTCAAATACATCTTTTGTACATAGCATAAAACTGGGTCTTGCTTAAAAAAAAAGTTCTGATTATCTGATTATCTCTGCCTTTTAATTGGAGTCTTTAGTCCATTAAGATTTAATGTAATTGTTGATATGGATAAATTTGAATCTGCCATTTTGCTATTTGTTTTCTTTTTTCTCATCTTTTTTTTTTTACTAGGTTTTTATTATTAACATCACAACAATTATGTCAATAAAATCATCTCAGTTGAGGTACACAAAACCAGCTCATTTCATTTTTATTGTTGTTGTTCCTGTTTCTCCTGTATGATTAAGGACATTTTATAATTGAAGCAACTTTACATTTTATCTGGTCCAACTACCTCATTCTATAGAGGAAGACATTGAGGCTTAGAGATTTTCCCATGATGACATAACAACTACATCCCATGCTGCTTTAGGCTTTATGTGACCTGGTATTTATTAATCAGAACCTAGGACCAACGACTATTTGCCCATTTGGTCATAAACATGGGATTTGGGGGTTATGCCTATGCCAGTGCCTTTGGAAATAATTAAAATAACCAAGGCAAGTTATGATTTGCATTACCATTAGCAGAAAAGACAAGAACTCAGAATTATTCTAAGGATACTTCAAAATACATTTATATTTACCTGAAAACTTTTTTATTTTGGATTACTTTTTTTCCCAGCTCAGAATCTTCACAATTTGGTCAAACTGAGCATTCTTGATTTATCAGAAAATTACCTGGAAAAAGATGGAAATGAAGCTCTACATGAACTGAGTAAGAATGACAATTCAGCCAAAATCAGATGCTTGAATATGTGTACTGGGTAGTCGAAATACATAGCCTGGGCCCTGAGGTCTTTTATACCCATGTGTGCCTTACTAGATGCACCCTCCTTAGGAACATCATTTGGGCCTTTCCTAAACTGCCCTTAACAAACACAGGCCCATGTCTTTTAAGTCACCAGTTTACATATGCTCACTGCACTTTGAGGCGGGATCCCACCTGCTTTCCTCCTTTGAGGAGGCAACTGTCAGAGTAGCTGATGTGCAAGACAAATTTGCTTAAGGAATTGGTGATATGGATTTTTAGGTGTGACAGTGATATGTGATTATGGTTAAAAGAAAAAAAAAGGAAAGAACTGATTCATACTGTCCATGATTTGCTTTAGAATAATATCGGGGGAATTAGGTCAGGATTAAGCAAGATTGCCCATGATTTAATGTTTTTGAAAAGTGACTTATTAGTATATATAGTTTCATTATATTCTTCTGCATAATGTTTGTATAAGCTTGAACACTTTCCATAAAAATAACCAAAAATTAAGTAGATTCTCATTGCAGATTGAGTAGGCTACAGAACCACCAAACATAACGATCATTCCTTCCCCAACATCCCTTCGTTCTTCCTCAGTTTTGAGATCATCCAGTCCCTGAACTGCTCTTTGTTTCTTCCAGTTGACAGGCTGAACGTGCTAGAACAGCTCACTGCACTGATGCTGCCCTGGGGCTGTGATGTGCAAGGCAGCCTGACCAGCCTGTTGAAACATTTGGAGGAGGTCCCACAACTCGTCAAGCTTGGGTTGAAAAACTGGAGACTCACAGATACAGAGATTAGAATTTTAGGTAAGTACACACATACCGAGCCAAGATAAATGGATTTGGCCCTTAAAAAGTTCTTGAGCTGGCTTTGCTTATTTTGCCGCCTTATTTTATTTTGCTTCCTCTTTTTTTAAAAATATAATTATGTCTAAGGAATTCATTCATGTTAGAGTAAGAAGACTTAAAACACTGGCCTTCCTTCAGGTTGTAAGCCCTTTACCTACAGAATTAAATGGAAAGCATTCACAGTATCCAATAAGATGTATTATATTAGTCATAGTTCTTACTAGCCTTAACTTTCTGAAATTCAGCAACGCCCCTCCCTCCAATATCAGGAAATATTTTCAAGTTACTTATTGGGTATTCAACACTATATATAAAGGTGAATGTAGCTGTATCTAAATAGAGTCACAAAATATCTTTAAATAACTGTAATATTATCCAGAAACAAATAGATCTATATAAATGACTGAAGACACCACCAACCTCAGGCAGTTGATGAAAGAAGCCCTCATACTATCTGCATTAGTTTTCAATCTGTGCATAACATATGGCCTCAAAACATAATGGCTTAAAACAATAACCATTATCTCACAGTTTCTGCGGTTCAGGAACTTGGGAGTTCAGCAGGTTAGCTCTGGCTTGACCTCTCTCATGAGAGGGGCTGCTGGAGGATGTCCTTCCAAGGTAACTTCTCACATGGTTGGCAAGTTAACACTGGCTGTTGGCTGGAGGCCTCACGTCCTCATCACTAGACCTCTTCACAGGCTGTGAGTGTCCGCACAACACGGCAGCCCACTCATTTCTGGTCACTTCTGACATATCCCACTGGTTGCACAAGTTATTCCAATCCAGCATATGGAAACATGAATACAAAGAGGTCAGGCTCATCAGGGTCAACTTGGAGGCTATCATACTAAAGCCAAGGACTTATGAAGACAGCCTCTATCACCTTCATTTCTCTTACAGATTGTCTAGAATGTGTTTAGTTTATGTAACATACAATTTATTATTTAAACTTTTTTTTGTTTTTTGTTTTTTTTAGACGGAGTCTCGCTCTGTCGCCCAGGCTGGAGTGCAGTGGTGCAATCTTGGCTCACTGCAAGCTCCGCCTCCTGGGTTCACGCCATTCTCCTACCTCAGCCTCCCGAGTAGCTGGGACCACAAACGCCTGCCACCGCGCCTGGCTAATTTTTTTTTTTTTTGTATTTTTAGTAGAGACGGGGTTTCACCGTGTTAGCCAGGATGGTCTCCATTTCCTGACCTCGTGATCCACCCGCCTCGGCTTCCCAAAGTGCTGGGATTACAGGTGTGAGCCACCGTGCCCGGCCACATTTAAACTGTTTTTAAGTGTAAAAGCTTTGTGGCATTAAGTACATTCATATTATTGTGCCACCGTCACAACATCCATCTCCAGAGCTTCTTCATCTTCCCCAACTAAAATTCTGTACCCATTAAACATTAACTCCCATCTGCTGCTCTTTTTAGAACCTTCTTTCCTGGAGATTCGTACCTAAGTCCTTAGGCTGCCCGAGGGTTTGCCTTCCTAATGGTGCTTCAAGTTCTGGATCTTTCCTTCCTTTAATTCCTAACTTCACGTCCATCCACTCCCTCAACCCATTAACTCACATCATTCTGGTGTCATTCCTTCAGGCCCTTCCTCTATTTTAGGTTATACTAGAGTCAGGTGGCTTCTGTGACAGGCTAATTAGCTAGCTGATAAATAATCCCTCTTAGGTAACCTCATACCTTAAGTGAGTTGGAGAGGATGTGTCTTTTCCAAGAGGCCCTTGGAGAATATATAGATTTAGAATTCATGTTGGGGAGGCGTTTTTAGGTTGAGGTTTTTTAGCATCCTTTAAATCTTTAGGTAGCTGCCTACTTTGTCCACTCCCAAGGCTGGCCATTGAGACCAGAGAAGGAGATGGTGTGCTTAATGAAATAAACTGAGCTAGGCAATAATTTGTAATTTGTTATTTGTTGAGACGGAGTCTCGCTCTGTCTCCCAGGCTGGAGTGCAGTGGCTTGATCTTGGCTCACTGCAAGCTCTGCCTCCCCGGTTCAAGTGATTCTCCTGCCTCAGCCTAGTAGCTGGGATTACAGGCACGCTCCACCACCCAGCTGATTGTTGTATTTTTAGTAGAGATGGGCTTTTGCCACGATGGCCAGGCTGGTCTCAAACTCCTGACCTCAAGTGATCCACCAGCCTTGGCCTCCCAAAGTGCTGGGATTACAGGCAAGAGCCTCACCGGGCCCTCAGTTTTTTTAAAAAAAGAATTTGTGAACTGGGCATAGTAGCTTACACCTGTAATCCCTGTGCTTTGGGAGGCTGGGGTGGGAGGACTGCTTGCGGCCAGGGGCTCATGAGCAGCCTGAGCAACACAGGCAGACCCCGTCTGTACAAAATACTTTTTTAAAAAATTAGGCCGAGCACGGGGGCTCAAGCCTGTAATCCCAGCACTTTGGGAGCCCGCGGCGGGCGGATCACGAGGTCAGGAGATTAGGAACATCCTGGCTAACACGGTGAAACCCCGTCTCTACTAAATATACACAAAATTAGCTGGCCGTGGTGGCAGGCGCCCAGCTACTCCGGAGGCTGAGGCAGGAGAATGGCCTGAACCCGAGAGGCGGAGCTTGCAGTGAGCCGAGATGGCGCCACTGCACTCCAGCCTGGTCGACAGAGCGCGACTCTGTCTCAAAACAAACAAAAAAAATTAGCTGGGAGTGTTGGCACATGCCTGTAGTCCTAGCAATTTAGCAGACTGAGGAGGGAGACAATCCTTTAAGCCCAGGAGGTTAAGGTTGTTGTGAGCTATGCTCGTGCCACTGCACTCCAGGCTGGGTGACAAAGACCCTGTCTCTTAAAAAAAAAAAAAAAGGCAATTCAGTAAGAAGATATAATCATTATATACACACACACACACATATTATACCCACACATATATATACACACATATACATGTATATACACACAGACTATACACACACACACACACACACACACACACACACACACATATATGCCCCCAACACTGGAGAATCTACATATATAAAGCAAATATTGTTAGAGCTAAAGAGAGACATACAACCCAATACAACAATAGCTGGAGACTCAACACCCCATTTACAGCATTGGACAGATCTCCCAGACAGAGAATCAACAAAGAAACATCAGACTTAATCTGCACTATACACCAAATGGACCTATGAGATATTTATAGAGCATTTCTTCCAACAGCTGCAGAATACACATTCTTCTCCTTAGCACATGGATTATTCTCAAGGATAGACCACATGTTAGGCCACAAAATAAGTCTTAAAAAATCGCCCCACATTGAAACCTGATTCAAGTATCTTCTTTTACCATAATAGAATAAAACTAGAAATCAATAACCAGAGGAACTTTGGAAACTATACAAACATATGGAAATTAAACAGTATGCTCTGGAATGACAAGTGTGCCAATGAAGAAATTCAGAAGGAAATTGAAAAATTTCTTGAAATAGGCTGGGTGTGGTGGCTCATGACTATAATCCCAGCATTTGAGAGGCCAAGGTGGGAGGACTGCTTGAGCCCAGAAGTTTGAAACCAGCCTGGGCAATATGCTAACATGTCATCTCTACAATTTAAAAAAAAAAAAAAAATATATATAGATAGATAGATAGA